TTTTGTTTTTTCCACTTCAGGTTGAATATGGTTCAGTACAGAGCTCTGACCTGCCTTCACAGCATCTTGTTAGTGTCTGATGTGGATTGTCTTGGGGGAGCGTCTGTCCTTCAGTCCCTCTCGCATCACCTGTCCCAGTTAATTTTTTCTCAGCCAGGTATGTTTGGGGCATCTGTGCCATTCCTGGCTCACCGCAGGCTCTGCTTCTTCTCTTTCTTTCCTTTTGCTCCCCATCATCCCTCAGCTGTTAATTACTGTGTTTCCTAGTCCAGCTCCCTGCCATACAGGAATACACAACTAAAACACCCCTGAAAGATGGTTCAAAGCCTTCCAAATAAGGAGCGTCCATTTAATATTCATTTCAGTGAAATTAGATTCTAAGTAAGTGTGTATGAGTACTTGGCAAATTAACCTTTGAGCTAACTTTATTGGTATTTATACTTTTTGGACAGAATTTTCAACACAAGTGGAGTTTCTGGAAGCCGTAACCAGTGCTTTGCGGGCTCTCTTGCAAATGTTGGCATCAAATAATATATCTCAGGTGAGGTTTTATTTTTTTTCCCTTGTCATCTTCCTCATAATCTTTTCATTGAGAAGGGTAGCTGTTTTATGTAATAGCCGTGAGAAGAGTCTCTTTCTGTCACACACATACACATTTGTAAGGAAGCCCATGGAGGGTGTGGTGGAACTATGCTTCACACCTACTTCGACATATGTAAGTTATGCAACACATTATCAAAGGGGGATACAGCTCAGCTATATGCATAAAGTGAGAGCCATAATAGCAGGAGGAGTCTGTGGGCTCAATGGGAGGAAAGAGATCCAATATTGGAAACTCATATTAAGGCAAAGAGTCTGCCCATGTATGTATGGCAGGGATGGGGGGCTGGCAGAGTTGGGGTGAAAGGACAGGCATGAAATGGTCTGGAGGTCTACTTCAATATCTGTCCTGTTTTGCCCTTGGGAAGTGAGTCAGACTCCCAGTCCGAATCCTCAGCATCTTAAGCAGGGCATGAGAAAGAGAGAGAGCTCAAGCTCCCCAAGGCATCTGTAAAAAAGCACTGGTAATCTAATCCAATCTAGGTCCTTCATGAGTCAGTAGGCAGTCCAGGAAAGCAGTCCAAAAGATAATCCAAAGGAATAGTCAGAGTCCAGGCATAATTCTACGCAACAAGCAACCAATCAAGGAACGGGGCACCAGCATGGCTTTCACCCAAGGAAGAAGGATGGTTGTCAGCAATACCGGACCAAGGGAGGTGCTGGGATATTTATAACCCATCCGCGTCTCGCAGGTGCTCCTTATTAGCAGGGTGCTTCTTCCTTAAACATTGGCGTCTTTCTTTTTCCTGGCATCTCTCTGTGGTAGGTCTGTTTCCTCATCTAAGGATTGTAGATCTTGTGAACTTTGCTTTTGTGGCTGTTGGGAACTTGGCCCCTGTGCTGGAGACAGGCTCACCTCCTGGGGCTGCCAGAGTTGCTGCAGCTCTGGCATGTCTCTGCGCTCTCATCCTCTCCATCAGAGGACATGCCAGGATCCTGGAGGCAGGGCATGACGGTATCCTTTCCTATTCAAAGGATTTTCACATCCCTTTATTATTGCGTATTATGTATACATTTCTAAGGCTGTTCTATCAATGTGTATTTGGGCTGCAGAATGGCAACTGCTGCACATACATAGATGTGTTTACCCTCTTTACCATCTCTGGTGCTAGAAGAACATGGGAAGTGGTTCATAGGCAGTCCTGAAGTGCTGTATTCCTCCTTTTGTAAGTTTGCTACTTGCATGGACAAAAAAATACTCCTCCTCCCCAAAAAAGCTTAGATAAAAGACTTCATCAAGATTTAAGTTGTATTTAAAAATAGGAATGCTAACCATTACACCCCCTTCTCATTGTGAGTCTTTTCTTTCATACCTACGGTACTTTTAAATATATATATATATTATATTTATTATTTTAAACAGAACATGACTCCTGAGCAGCTGATGACATTGTGTGAGGCTGGTATTCACAGTAGTAACATTAGTGTCCGTGTAAACGTAGTTAGCATTCTGGGAATTGCTGGAAGCGTGCTTGCAAAAGTGGAAGACACTGCAGAAACACTAAAGGTAAAACCTAATGGTGAGATCATCCTTTATTTTTTATTTTTTTAATCGAAGCAATTAAGTTACTGCTTGCAAGATGGTTGTATTGTTTTGGTGTGTGTGTGTGTCTACCATTCCAGATGATAGGAAAATTCCTCCTTGATGTTGCAACGAAGGATCCTTCTCTTGTGGTAGTGGGAGAAGCTCTGGATGCCCTTTTTGATGTTTTCGCTGATGGAAAAGAAGCTGAAAGAGCAGCAGAACAAATAAGACTGCTTCATATACTTAGGGAATTCCAGCCAGTTTTCAAATCACGGGTAAGCGTATTGTATCACAGTAAAAGGGAGGAATGCAGATGATTTATGTTTTATCACTGCATCAGACACCAAATCTGAGAAAGTAAGTTTCCAACAGTTGCATCCACTGTTACTAGTAACTGCCTTAAAAGCCTAAATTTTGTTGTTATTGTTTTTAATTTTCAAAAGCTCCCAATAAATTGCTGGCTCTCATGGTGCAGTAATATGCTTGAAATGGAGGTGGCTATAATGTGGGCCCTGGACCTGTTGTGATCCCTGAAGCCCCCCACCAGTCCCTAAAAGCCCCCAAATCCCCCATTTTAAAAAATCTATGTGATTTTCTGGCAGTTTAGTCACATAAATCATAGACACTCTCCCCACAAAAAAGTCCCACATGAAAACATACAAATATATCCCTACAAGCACCCCAGAGCCCTGCATTACCTTCAAATACCTCCATTTGCCTCTGTAGTCCTTCTCAAAATGGTGCAAGAAGTGACAAAATTCTGGGAAAGACCAGTAATCTACTCTAGCTGATCCTGCTAGCTGTGTGTGTCTGCCTATAGCAGGCAAGGTAAACAGCAGCTGCCTCAGGAGTCTCTTTACTGAGCATGCATGAACAAGAAACAGAGAAAAAAGAAGAGACCAGATCCTCATCAGCTATACCCCCAGCATATAAAAAAAAGCATAGGTCTATAGGTTTGACTACCAAAATGGAAATGATAAGAAGAGTGGAGACTGGTGAGGGGGAAAAATCATCATGGATAAATTTTGGAGGAAGCCTTCATATGTTCTCTAGAGGGTTCAAAACCTTTTTATTTACTTATGCAAGGCATAGCTGATCCCGATGTTTCATTTCATATGCACATATTGTTCAGTTCTGAATAAAAAGTTTGTTGAAATAATCAGAGACATAGCCGTGTCATTCTGGAATATCAGTATACAAAGGGATCTTGTAGCACCCTTGAGACTAACTGAGCAAAAGAAGTTGTAGCATGAGCTTTCATAGACTTGGTCTACTTGGTTACATCTAAGGATGTTTGTTGAAACATGTTGAACTGCTCTTATTTTTTTGGGTGTCAAAACCTATTCCTATTCCTTCCATATCATTTCTACACTAATGTTAAATTTTCTGTTAAAGAAGTAATGCCTGGGACATACCTACTTTGTTAACTGCTCAGTTTGAAGTTTGCAGTCTTTAAGCTATCACAGTTTCTGAAGGAGTGAAGGAAATTAATGTTTCCCTCCTAAGTATATCATTGCTTTGTCCTGATTTTGAAAGGAACTGTGGTTTTTGTCAGATGACTTATGTTGCTGCTTTTTGAAAAATATCAGTAAAGTGGTCTCTTTTTATTTCTTTTTGATTTGCAGATACGGAAAGAAGGAAAAGGACAGTATAGCACTGATCAGTTATGTGTGCTTGACAATGTGAAGCTGAATTTAAGAAGATTCATTGCTTATCAGGAAGCACTGGAGAGGAAAAAATAACTTTTGAATAGTAAAAAGAACATAAAGCTATATTTTTTTGTTATTATTTGTTAAATATTTTTTGACCTGGAATTATATAGCACCTTGCAGTGAATGGTTGGTGGGGAGAGGGGTGTGGTATGTTTGCTTTGGATGATAAATTTCTTACAGTGAAATTTGAAATAAACGATGCATTTGGCATCTACAAGTGTCAGAATGTTGCCTTAACATCAGGACTGGAAACATTTAAACTCGAAAGAATTCATACATCAGTTACCTAAGAACCTGCATCAGATCTAGTGGCCTGCCTGCCTAAAATTGAATGAATATTTGAGACTCATGGATGACCGGATTATTTCTCTCTTTTGAAGGTCTGTCACCTGTGTAGTGTTCCAGATCTTCTATATGTGGTTTGGATGTTGAGAGCATCTCATAGGTTTTTGCCCTTCTTGCCTTATGTCTTTCTTCTTTTCACATGATGTTCCCTCATTTGCTTTGTAGAGCTAATCATGGCACATTTAGCCAGTCTTAATTATTAGCCATGGTTAGTACAAGCCAGAATTAATGTTAATGCTAATCATGATTATAAATGGAAGCAACTTAATGTTAGCATTAATGCAGATACATCACTGTACTCTTGATTAGCTCTAGAAATTATTAGAAATTTGAGCACTTAAGAAGTTAGGTAGTGTATAAATCATATTAATGATAATGGCAATGATTATAATAGAGAAAAAAAGAGAACTTATAAGCCTATGTTATCCATGTTAGAAAATATAAAATGTACAGTGGGCCCTTGGTATCCACTGGGGTTTGGTTCCAAGACCCTCCGTGGATCCCAAAATCCATGGATACACAAGTCCTATTAAATACAATGACACACTAAGATGGTGTTCCTTGTATAAAATGGCAAAATCAAGGTTTGCTTTTTGGAATGTATCTATTTTAAAAATATTTTTAAACTGCGGATGCTTAAATCCGTGGATATGGAGAGCTGACTGTACCTTCTTGTTGTGTGCCTTCAAGTCATTTCCAATTCATGGCGACCCTAAGGGCAATCCTATCATGGGGTTTTCTTGACATGTTTCTTCAGAGGGGGGTTGACATTGCCATCCTCCGAGGCTGAAAGAGTGTGACTTGCCTACGAGTGTCCATGGCTGAGTGGGGATTTGAACCCTAGTCTCCAAAATTATGGTCCAAAGCTCAAACCATTGTACCACACTGGCTCCTACTGGATTAACATCTCTGGAGTTTGTTGTAGTTGTATGGGGGGGGGGGGAAAGCTGCCCTTCTGGCACAAAATATCATTTTGCAAAGAGTAACATAAATGAGAATTAGTAAAAGAATGTTTTATGAGTGTTTTGCAGGGTATCACTAATTGCAAAAGCAATCCCTGCCCTTCTGCTGGGCTACATTGGCTCAACTGATAGTAATGTATTAGCCCCAAGTGGTTCTCTCCTTGGACTGGTGTTGTGCCATCTGTATTAGCTGACCATATTGGAAGGGTGTGTGTGCAAAGAAAACCCCTAACTCTTTCATCTCCTAATATATTTTTCATAGTACTTACTAAACTGGAAGGAGGAAAATTCCAGTCCCCGGTAGCCAGCGTTTGTCTAGTAGGTGCCACAGCTGGGCAAATATTGAATGTTTCATAGATGCTCCTACAGTAACATCCAAAATTCACAAAACAGTGATACCTTTACTGGGCCAACCAAAAATGCACAAAGTACACCATGCATGCTCTCAAGGTTCCCCTGGCTTCTTTCCAAAGGCAAAAGTGTTTAAAATCATGCAGGAGGAGAAAACAAACGATAATGTTAAAAAATCTCAGGCGTGCATTTTGTCGAGCTGTTGCTTTTGCTGTTGCCAGTTAAGATGGTCTTAGAGGGATACCAATGCAGCCGGAAGCCTCGCCTCTCTTTGACCGCTTGGGCTTTGGGAGGCAAAGAGTTGTAAAATGCAGGCAATAAAATTTCAGCTCCATTAGCAATAGAAAAACAAACAAACAAACAAACAAAACACAACTTTTCTTGAGATCCAGGCTATTTATGTCCTGGGTGAGGCTACCTGCCCATTTCCTAGGAAAAGAACATTGCATATATTTTTTTTAATAATGGCTTTTATTTACACGTTTTCTTTTCTTGTACATTTCTACTTAACAAATTACAATTTGTATGAATTCTAATACATATACATTATTCTAATACATCTCCTTCTTTTATAAAATATATTCTTTTCGACTATCTGTTTATTCTTTATCTTCTTGTTTACAGTCTTTTCCATTCCATTTCTCTTCCTTTCTTCTTCCCCTTCTTCCTTCCTTCTTCCTCTTTTATCTTCTCCCTTTTTACAACTTAATCATTCTAGTTCTTACCATATTTTTAATATATGTAGGAACCTAATCCCCACAAAGGAAAAAAAA